AAAACCTTGCCATGCAAACCCAGTACACTCTGCTATGTTGCCTCAGTGCCTGCTTTTTTTTGTTGTTGTTTTTTTTTTTTTAACTGGGTATTTCAAGACATAATTTTTCATTCAACCAGGACAACTGTAAGTATAAACTCTGATTTCCTGTAACTTTGTCACCAAGGTATCTTTACAAGATGTCACCTCCAAAGTAGATGAATTTTTTTCTCTTCACTGGAGCATAATGCAATTTTGATCCTACTTTCTTCCACAGCTTTTATTGTATTGCTTATTTTCATTTGTCTTCAGAGTGCAACCAGGACAAGTCTGCTTCAAAGAAGAATTTATCAGTTTATTTCAATGTAATCTAAAAACATGTATTTTGATTAGTTTCTTTCCCTTACTTCTTACAAGGTTTCAGCAGCAGGGATTTTGATGCAGGCTTTTTAATGAAGTTAGCCTGCATGTCTGATACTGGTGAGGTCCTCCTATAAGCTATGGTTTGTGATTGTGTTAGAGTGGGAATAGATTGAAGACCTGAGCCGTCAGTGGAGAAAAGATCTGACCTCCCCAGGCAGAAGTGTATGGTTTTCTTGCCAATGTAGAAAACAGCCTTAGGGTTTTAGAAACTCATAAAGATCCTGAAGTTGCTGTATATTAGCAAAACTCCGTGTATGTGCTACTCATGAAAGGAAAAGTAAATGCGTTAGCAAAGAGAGGAGCTGGCTGGTTGGATGAGGAGTCACTGCCTTTGTTATCAAAAGAACAAGGAAGAGGAGATACACTGCTAATCTGCCCAATATTCATGTGGCCCCTGGCACCACTTCTGTGACCCCATGTCCCTCGGGGCTGTGCATTTAATGGGCAAGTGGAAGCTGCTGCTTCTGGGCAAAGGAAGTGAGACTCTGTGGTCAAAAAAAAAAAAAACCAAACAAGAAAAACCTGTCCTTGTGGGTTTTTTATGCTGAAAGACATACATGTTCGGAGATGGTGAAAAGCTGTGTACTGATATCTGAGAATAAAGTAGCCCTGAATGTTCTAGTTACAAATTCTTACTCATCAGTTGATGGAATGATTAGTTACCTTCAGAAGAGTCTGTAAGAGGTCGTGCTTGGGGCACTTGCTATAACTGGGAAGAACTAGTGGCAAAGCAGGTCTGTTAAATTAATTCCCCTCTTTCTAATTTTTTGCTGTCATCCTATTTAAATTATTACCTGTGAGTATGATGTCATTATTACGAGCTTGCTCCAGAGCTGTGTAATATATCTAGTAAACTGTAAATTTTTAGATGCAAATTTTGGACTATTAGGAGAATGGGAGTATGTTTACCTCCAATACGGTATCCCATCATGTGACAGTTTGTAATGTTAGCCTAGAGTTTATTCATTTTCCTTTGAGTGCAAATTTGAGTACACCGCTGTGTCTGGGTTATTGTGCTGTTTGGCACTGCCTCCCTACAAACTACTGATTAGCTGGGAAAAATTCCGAGTTTCCTGTTTTCCCAAGTAAAAAATACTGGACTTCCTTCTATTTTCGTAGTGCAGAATATAGTCCTCCACTGCAGCTATCTATTTAACAATTCCAAAGGTGTTTTACAGTAGTTACTAATGTTCCAGAGTGAAATCAATTATGGAGATAAATGAATTTTGGAAAAGTGGAGAACGGTTAACCGCCTACTAAAAGTGCAGTGACACCAAGGTACTAAAGCAGGTATCATGTTTGGCATTTTTATTAGACATGTAAAGTACGAAATAATGTTTCTTGAGGTTGAATGTTTCGGAAGCACTATGAAGATGAAAGTACAAAATTGAATTAAATTATTTCAAATCATCTGGTAGGCAAAGGGCAGTTATAGGCACATTAAGTCATATAAAAATCCTTAGGAAGAGGGACATATTTTTGTTAAGCTTGTTACATGCATCACTGCCTCTATGTAAAGAAATAAAATTCCTGGTTATAGAATATTTTGGTGAAGGCTGATTTTCTGGAGTTTTTGAGTCAGAGGGTGAAGGAGCTGTTTTGGAAAGTGAGAAGAAGCTGACAATATCTCTGCAGATATCACTATAATGGATTTGCTGCACTTGGCAACCAGAATTAAAGCAAAGGCATAGCTTCAGCGGGAGGCACATATATAACCTATACACACATATAATATAACACACACAATAATTTATATGATAAATAAATAATCTTTTTCACTCCTTATGGAAATGCCTCAGAGCATGAAGGATAGCAAGGTTTGCAGATCTGTGCTATAAACATCTTATCTGGCAGGGGGAGCTGGAACGGGCCCTTCCAGGGAAATATGCTCCTGGAGGTGGCATTGGTTTAAAAGACCAACATCATTTTGGGGAGAACGGGAAAAAAAAGAAGGGAAAGAAAAGGGTCCTCACAGAAGCGTTGTACTGTCCCTGCTGGCTGTGAGCACATGGGACTGGATTTCTTCTTCCTTTTACACACATCTTTGGAGACAGCCAACAGCAGGTCTCTTCTCGTTAATGTCTGACAAACCTTAAGAGTATTTATCAAGGAAGAAAATTACTTGGGGTAATTTAGCCAATATCCAAGTAAGTCGGAGGCTCTAACTACCTAATAAGAAAATATTGAATTTCTTCAGGCCTTGATGAAGAGCTTCCAGTTGATGCATATGGTTAGTGCATAGTGCTAAATTGTTTGGTGCCTGCATCAATATAATCTTCAACTTTTCATCCTTCAGTATGTAAATTGTTAGTTTACTCTTTTATTTTTAATTAAAAAGTCAGATGAAAAGTAGTAAACTCACAAACAGTGTTACTCATTATTTATCTTCAAACCATTAACTATTTTCATTGATTTTTTTTCTTTTTTTGTTCCCCTCTTGCCTGGTGCAAAAGATTAAACAGATCGCAAGCACTTAGGCTGAAATGCGTACAAAAGAGTGAAGCATCTCTGTGCTTCCCATCCTCGTATGATGGATGAGCTGTGGGGGAGGAGAGCACTGATTGGACTGGAAGACAACTTCTTGCAGTGGTTGCCTGCCTTCCTGGGTATTAGAAGGATTACCCAAAATAGGGACCAGCTGAATAATTTTGGCTCCAGTGCCTACAGATGGATTTCCAAACTGTCTGATGCTTGTTATAGATGAGGAGAGAAGAGGGGTGTGGGATGCCTTATAAATAACACCCGGGAAAAGATGCTCTATCAAACAGCCTGCAGTGTGGTAAACACTCGCTGTTGCAGAAACAGGGGCAGTTTTCCAAGCTGGCCATAAACTGCATTGCTTCAGACAGTTTATAAATATTTATCTCCCAAAATGTGCGTGCAGAGCTCGCAGTTGAAGTGGAGCACAAAGCAAAATAAGGGGATGCTATTTACAGTGCAAAAATCCTTCCTCACATCACAGTGCATATTTCAAAGAAAATACCCCAAAACTTTTTTCCTGTATTTTTTTTCCTCTGGACTTGACTGGTTTTTATTTGTAGTGGAAGAATAGCCAGTAGTCTGTGGTTCAGAGGCAGCGTTTCAAGTGAGGTGAGCCTGGCAGCAGTATGCTGGTATTCTCCTCTGGAGCATCTCCTCTGGGGTTGTTCCAGTGCTCACCCTTTCGTTAGGAAAAAAGGGAACACACCATATACTGTGATGATGAGGTTCTGGCATCCTTTTGGCAGCTGGAGCTCTTGGCAGCTGTTTTTCTTCCTCCCTTTCAACTTTTGTTGGCAGGCTGAAGAGGCTGAAGGCAAAGCAGTGGTGTTTGCTGGAGTTTCGGGAAGCTTGTGCTGTTGAGGCTGAGTGCTGGGCAGCATGTTGGGTGGCTTTTTTCCCCCCTCCTTTCTCACACTCATTGTCCTTAATGTGAATCCTCTGTCTTGTTGGAAGAGATCGGCTATTACACAGAGCATAGCCCTGGCCTGTCATATCCCAGCAACAGCCATTCAGATGGGTGAGTGCTGGAAAGGGGTAGTGGGATACTTGGGGATGGAGAGAGGAGGCGAGTGTGTGTTTGCCTTGGCTGCCCCCTTAAATTAGCACGGGACCCTTAAAATAACAAACTGTTGGATTTTGCAGGCTGTGGCATCCTTCACATTCAACCTTTTGCCATATCGCAGGGGGTAGGGATGTTGTGCTGCACATCCTTGCCCTGTCCTGTAGCATCCACTCGAGTTGGGCAGTGCCTTCGAGAAGGTGCGGGGTGCTGAGGTCTCAGGGGAGGAGGAGGATGCTGTCTGTGTGCATGGTTTGCTAAAAACATTGAGATACTGCTGTTACAACGTGTGTTTTTGCACTTGGCTGTCTTTATGCAAATACCCCAGTCTGCTGGTAACTCAGATAATTCTGCATTACTTGTTATTCTGCCGGCGCTGCCAGTGAGATTGTTTGGGCTGTTTCAGCCTCTGGGACTTTCGGCAAGCCCTTTGCTCTGGGTCGCTCAGCCTCTGCCTGCAGCTCAGAGGGGTACCCCTGGGTAGAAAACCCCTGGTTTTGTGCACAAGGGGAAGGGAAGTGCAATGTGAGCTGACTCGGGTTGGTGCGAACTAACAAAGGCTGTATGGTAAAGTAGAAGTGGAAGCTCCAAAAGTTGTGCAGGCTTTTTTCTTCCCTGTGGTTGTCTCTGCTTTCTTTCATCCTATGACTTTGCTGGGAACAAGGTGCTCTCTGCTGACCAGGCATAGGATCAGTGCTAAAATGCTCATCTGCAAACTGGGTGAATTGTTTCTTAAAGCTGTTTCTTAAGCATTTTATTCTCTTCTTTCTTTAAAGAGGACTGAAAAAAAAAAAAAGCCTAAGTTCAGCCACATTTTTGAATTGTCATGTCTTTTAAGAATTATTTCAGGGAAAAGAAAAAAAAAAGAGGATAACACATCTGAGCCTGGAGTACTTTGTACTGGTACTTGACTGGTGTAAGTCTCAGTGGTGTTTTTGATGCTGACATCCTCCCTCTTTTTTTTTAGGTCCAGAGCATCATTCGCTCCCAAACCAGCATGGGTATGCGCCACAGAGACCGGTCAACAACAGGGAACACCCTGAAAACTGGCTTCAACTCTGCGCTGACAACGTACTTCTTTGGGGCGGATCTGAAGGGGAAGCTGACCATCTCCCACTTCCTCGACTTCCAGCGCAAACTGCAGCATGATATTCTGAAGCTTGAGGTTTGAATTATTTTTTACATACGGTGGAGAGGGCAGTGCAGCATGAACAGTGCTGCATGACATGGTTTCTGGAGGAAGAGCAAGAGCATGGGAGTTGTGTGGAGGGAATTACTACAGCTGCAGGTTGTAGCACTCATGAATCAAGCCTATTGTTAAATTTCTGATGAGCATTTTAGTGCCTGTGGCACTCCCCAGGAACACCTTTTTGTCTTGTGGAGCTGTTCTTGTGGAGTTGCAGCAGCAGCCAGCACGTCACAGGTGCATGTTCCTCCATGTGGTGCTTGCCTTGCTAATGCCTTGGCACTGCCAATGGAGGGTTACAAGGTGCTTTAGAAAAAGACAAAAGAGGTTGTGAGCAAGTCTGCTGCTACCTTCCCAAGGAAAGTTTGTCTCATTCCTAGCGAGCAAGCTGTGCCCTGAAGCACTCGTTCGTAACAATCCCCAAAATAGGTGGTCTCTGTTATGTGCCCTCCATTGTTCACTCCTGGGTTAATGTGCATTATAAGAAAAGTCCATATATTCTGAGATTCTTACTCTTCAATTGAATTGAAGGTCTCCTTTTTTCTTTGCATTACCAGAAGTTAACAGCAGCTCCTAATCTCCCTCCTCCTAGTGACATAGCTGGAATTTAAGCATCAAGCTTCAAAATTTGGTTCTTCTGACTAAAGTGAGTACACGAATAGCAACGGGGGACTTCTTGGTCTGTGTTTCAGCTCACAAGTGGAGCTGACTCAAAAAAGGTGCTCTGCTGTGGAGCTCAGGGGTTTGACCTGGCTTGAGCAAAGCCAAACTTTTATTTGCATCAGAAATTAGGATTTTGTGCACAAGAAGATCCCCCCACAACCATAATGTGTTAAGACAACAGTATTTGGAGCTCACTACTGCTTCAGTCTGACATATGAATGTCGACATCCTCAGGTTGTGTGATCCAGCTAATGGAGAACACTTTATTGAGTTCCGATTAAGTCAGTCATTGTGAACTTAACCTGAATCAATTCCCTTTTTTATGTGGAGTTTTATGAATCTGAGTAAAAAAAACTGACCCAAGGACTAATTTTTTTAATGAAGGTAATTGTCCAGTTTGCTGACTTCATTTAACTGGTCATTAAAGCAGGTGATGCAGCTTTACATTGGCAGGGGGAATAGGCTGGTTGAAGAAAATGTTCTTCTTGAACTGGAAAGTGTTGATTCCTCAGTGCCTCTGCAAATTGAAAATGAATGCAGTACTTTTTAAGCCTAAGAAACATAAGCTTAAACTTGAATGCAGAGGAGAGAGAAATCGAGATTATTCTATTCTCGTTTGCTGTCCTGCTCTGGTTTCCCACTGCCACATTTACTTCAGGGGCAGGCAGCAAGGAGGCACTGGAGTGTTATTCTTGACCCTGTGCTGGAGTTTCTGACAAACTTAATTTTTTCCTGAGTTCATGATACTAGTGCACCTGATTTTTCTGTTCATAGTTCTTTTTCTGTTCATAGTTCTTTTTCTGTTCATAGTTCTAATCGATTTCAGCAATACAGGCCTATTTCTGTTCTCAGCATTATGCAACGTGGCCTCTCTCCTCTTCTGCTTTTATCTCTTTTGACATATCTCCCACCTTCTCTCGTTGCTTCACATTTGATGTTGTTTGTTCACAGTAAAGCGGCTTTTCACACAAGTATCTAGTGGGTTTGCATTGCTCCTTTTCATTAGAGTGCTCTAATGAACTCAACCGCTTAAAAATGTGGTAATTCAGAGAAGAGACATCCCTCAAGTATTTACCTTGACCTATGCAAATCAGAAGAACATGAGAAGTGGCACTAGGAAATACTGTACTACAGAGCATCAGGTAACTCACATAGGTGATTTTTAATGGCTTCCCTTGTTTTATGTGTCTGTTTGGGTAATGAGCCTGTGAACACAGCGGTCATTTGTCAGCCTCATGCTCAGCTGCCTGTGCAGATCATCTCTGGCTCCTTCTCTTGGCGTGGCTAGTGTTACTGCTGGACAAGAAGGAGCAGAGAAGAGCTGGTGGCAGATCTGCCAGGGGCTCAGTTGAACTCTTGTACCCTTGTCTACTTATCCTGTGCTGGCTTAGCAAAATTAGTATATGGTCTGAAGCTGGGATGTTAATTTCAAAACCAGTTTTTGTTCATGTTCGGTGTCTGAACTCCAGAAAAGCCTTTGGGGAAATGCACTGTGAGCAGGTCTGAAGAATATCTCTTGGGGCTGGTGCAGCCCCTGAGTGACACGATGCCTCTGTTCTCAAACTGGAATGCTTGCATTCTCTCTTCCAAATGAAATAAACTTTAGGTAAGATCTTTTCTAAAGCTGTTTTCCCTTGGGCTCAAGATCCAGGCATATCTGCAGTTAATATACTTGGGAGCTGATTTCTTCTGCTGACTGTGAAGGTGGAACAATAGTTTCTAACCATATGAACCCACATTCCTCTTAATGATTTTGGTTCATTCTTTTCTTACCAAAATATTAATGCATATTTCTTGTTAAGACCAAGCAGAAACTTTCGAAGAGGAATTAGATCAGACAGAGCCCTGAACATTTCATTGTTCCTTATGGCTGAAGTGCTGACAGCATGTTTAAGTAACCGTGGCCTGCTGTTTTCTTCTTCCTTTCTGCTTATTTTTCTGATGAAAGTACATTTTTCATCATTTTATGGAAACTCAGCAATCAACTCAGTGGCAGGAAGCGAAGGATGAGAAAAGTAAGCAGAGCCAGCGGGACAGGAGAAGCTTTTAATGGCTTTTTGTGGTTTGGCTACCTTGAGGAAGCTGTGGCCTCCTTGTTGCATTGCAGGGTGGTCCAGCTTAGCTAAGGCTGAGCCACGGGAACCAACCCACCAAATGAGGCAGGCTCCCAGCAGAGTCCTCAGGGTTTTCTTACCCCATTCATGCTGCCTTGCATTAGTGCCTATGGAAAGACTTCCTCTCCTCTTGTTGCTTAGCATCACAAACGGTGGGTGACAAGTTTGTCTGGACAGGCTCTGCAGCTATAACGTGTCCTGTTAGGACAGGCGGTACTGGGCTCGAATGGTGGTTTGGGGTTTTTTTTGGAGTGAAAGTACTCTGTGAGTTAGGAAGATGAATAGGACTTGTCATCATCGTTTATGCTATTTCTGCTTGTCAGTGTCTGTCCTAGATATTCCTGTGTCCTTGGTGGACCAGGAGGAGTCCCAGCCAGCCCGTGGATCTCTTCCAGCCTAATTTTTCTATGATTCCGTAAGCGCATGTAGAAAAGATGTGTTAGCTCTTTGTTCTCCATTTCTGTGTCACTCCTGAAAGGCAACCCCAAACTGCTAATAGCAGTGATTTAATCTCCATATTTAGTAATCTTTTATTTCCCCAGGTCTCTTTCTGCCAGCAGTGAGATATGTGCCTGTGGCGTAGGACCTTAGTAAAGAATTTTTTTTCAATTTGCCTACAGTGAGATTTCTATAGCACATTGTTTGCCTGGCAGTTACTGACAGAGGGTGTTTGTTCTCAGCTGAATTGGTGAAGCGGATACTAATCCAGCCCCACCCCTTGTAGATTTGGGACTGTCTTCCTGGTGGGGGAGATCTCATGGCTGGAGAGGCAAGGCTGTGCTGCATGGCTTTGGCCAACGCCATGTCTCAGTCTGGTGTGATCTGTGGTATACACTTCAAGGTGGTGGGATGCAGCTTCCCATGGAGGACCTTGCCAGGTAGACTGAAGAGTCAGATCCTCGTGCAGATGCATATCCTTATGCTTAAACATAGCGATCTTTGCGGATCTTTGTTTACCCAAGGGTGCCCAGGTAGCAGTCCCTCCAAAGCAAGAGGTCTTCTCAAGCACTGGAGCAAAGAGAAGTGAAATAGGATTCTGTGAGAATATGACAAAGGGACCACACGTTATTGCTGCCACCTGGAAAATCACCTGGTTTATGTGTCTGCTCTGTGACAGGTGATGTGAGAGACAGTAACTACTTTACCTTGGAAGCTGCTGTTTTCATGATCAATGCTGATATGATTACTGCTTGATTTGGTTTTTTATGAAGAAGGGGTGATGGATGCTCTTCCATCTGCACATATCTTGTTAGAAAGTCCTAGATCTTTTTGGATCTCAACCTGTGTTAACAAATATTCTGGTTTCAGAAGGTATTTCTGATGCTTCACAATCTGGTTTTAGGGTTATAACTTGAGACTGTAAATGCCTTTCTGTTCTGAGTCCCGGTGCTGGGGTAGCTGGTATCTGAGTAATCCTGTCCCAAATGTTAAAAACTACTGTGTTGTTACCAGTTTACTCAAGATTTTTTGGGTTCTGCCTTGTTTTTGTATGGGCTTGCAGACTGATCCAGACTTTCAGTGATTTTTTAACATAGGCAACAAAGTTTGTAGTAGTGAGTCACGTATCTTTGTATCTGCTCCAGTGATTTAGGGTGAAAGAAAAGAGTAACTTAAATTAGTTTGGCCTGAAAGATGAAATCTGGCAATGTCAGATTGGCTAAGCTTTGTAAGGAAGGGCCCAAAACTCAGACTTTTTGGAGGTCAATTTGCTATTGAACTTATATGAGACATTTTTATTTTTAAGTCATCCTTATGGCAGTCTCTCAGAGTCATCCTAGACCTGCTGATCCTCTCACTGTCAACTTCACTGCTGGCCCGGTCACCATAGGAACAATGATGGGGGCTGTAATGTTTTCCCTCTTTTCTTATTAATTCCTCCTTCTCTGCATCCTGTAATGAATTTTGTATACTTACATAGTTTTGTCGGTTATGTACCTATAGTTCCTCCTTTAGTCCCCTACTTGCTTTCTCTTCCTTCACATGGTCCTTATATATGAAAAGCTGGACCAGCACTTGTTGTCTCTTTAATGGGGCAATTAATGGCAGATAAAAAATTGTTTGGGTTCTTTGTTAGTTATTTCCTGACCTGGTTGCAGTGCTTACCTGACATCTCTGATGTGCAAATGTATTAGGGAATGGTTTGAGTCACCTGGGATGCTCCAGTGAGGCTGCAGTATGAGATATTACAAGATACACTTTGAA